GAGAAGGAAGGGAGGCACATGGCAATACATTGGGTCCCTGATCCACAACAGGGGGAGAAGGCCAGCTAGAAGCCCAAACTTCATTTGCATACAACTTACTTATGTAGTTAATCCCCCCTTGCATCCCTCAAGTCTAAAATTTTTTTAAAATTTTAAAAAGAAAGAAAAAAATTGGCAAACCACAAACTTAAAGAAAACATTTATAGAACATGTAACTGACAGAGGGCTTGTATCCTGAATATATAAAAATAAGCTCTTACAATTTGATGTATAAAAGGATAAGTCAATTTTAAAATTGGCAAAAAGCTTGACCAAACAGTAAACAAAATAATACATTCCATTTACCAAAATGGACTACACAAACAAACACTCAGTCTTAGGACAATACTAAAAGGATTGTCAACATCAGGTGTTGTCAAGAAGGTGGAGAAACTGAGTCCCTTGGACATTGCTGTGGGAGTATAAGATGATATAACTAATTTGGAAAAGTACTTCACAGTTTCTAGAAAAGTTAAACATCTACCCAATAACCCAGCAATTTCATTCCTAGGTTTTTTCGCAAGAGAAATTAAAATATATGTCTACCAAAAGGTTGACACAAAAATGTGCACATCAGCTTTGCTCATAATAGCCCCAACTGAAAACACCCCAGCTGTCCATCAACAGGTGGATGGATAAACAAACCAGTATGGGGTGTCCATGTGCTGGAACACTACTTAGAGAAAAAAACGAACCACTTATACACTCATCAGCCTCAATGAATCTCAGAAATATTAATGCTCAGTAAAAGAAGCCAGATGCAAAAGAATACTTACTATATGAAGCTATTTATATGCTATTGGAGGATAGTGAAAGATAATCCATGTTGACAGATCACAGGGCGATGCCTGGGATGATAGGAGGGTCAGGTTTATTTTAAAAATAGCAGAAGGTAACTTTTAGGGTCGACATATATGTTATTTGTTTTGATTGGTGTATTGGTAACACAGGTTTACACCTTTTCAAAATGTATTTTAAAATACAGTTAAAATATACTGCATCTAAATCTTACCTCATTAAAACATGTGCTATGGTATTTTTATTTATTTATTTATTTATATTTATTTATTTTTTGAGTTGGAGTCTCACTCTGTCGCACAGACTAGAATGCAGTGGCCGCTCCCGGCCACCGCAGCCTCGACCTGCTGGACTCCGGCGATCCCTCCGCCTCAGCCTTCCAAGTAGCTGGAATTATAGGCATGCGCTACCACGCCCAGCTGATT